AGAACCAAAAGAGTAAGGCCTTACTTACCAACAACTCCTATAATTTTTCATTGCTGGAGGGGTTGCCCACCCCCCGCCCCCACCTGAAAATCCTGGCTCCGCCCATTGGTCTTGTGAAGGTGCGTGCACACGATTACTCATTCCATTGTAACTTTCGTGAAAGTAAACAAAACCACTCGTAAGTTAATATGCAAACGTAACACGTATGAGATGGAACTTGTTCCCCCCACCCCCCCCAAGCCTGTCCGTTCTAACTTGCAAGCCCCCTAAGCTGTGTGCTGTGTAGCAGCGTGCCAGTGCTTCTGCGTGCGTTCTCCAAAAGCTGCGCTGCTCGTAGGAATTGTAACGCTGAACAAAAGCGGAGGAGAAGTCAAGTGCGCCGTTGTAACGTGAAATGTGCAGTTTTGGTTTTGACACTGCGTTATAATATTGCAGCGTTCGCTGACAAAAATTGCCTTATGCGCTATGCCGCCCCGTCAGTAAATATCATTCAGGTGTTTACGACACATTTTCGCAATCAAGTTTGACATTTTTTGCCCAGTAAATACAAGCTATGGTCATTATAATTGGCTTTCAGTAGAACAGAAAAGTCTCGTCTCTATGGAGAAAATGGAAAGCATTTATAGTTAACATTCGTGCCATTAGGGCCTTTTTTTTACTTTGGGGGGGGGGGGGTTGAATGACGACCGTTTTTGCAGCCAATGGTCAAAGAAAATATCAAAATATCCATCGCCAAGGTGGATTCCACGTCCATTTGATGGCTGCAAACTGCAAAGTTGGAATGTTTCATTTGTTGTGTACGTAGGGTGTAGGGTTATTTTTGACTGTGCTGTATAGCTCTGTCCAAGAGCGTGAATTAAATTACTGAGGAGGGGCTCGCGACGTGCAGAAAAACGTCGGACATAAATACAGAACAAAACGCGGTAACAACCTCGAAGCACATATGGAGGGGAAATGTGAACGTAGAGTTTGTCTACAAATGGGGACTTTGAGTGAAAAGGGCAGGGCCACCTTCACCACACAGTCAGTGGCAAAGGAGCAGCGAGACATTCATATCCGTAATAACTTTTAATAAAATTTGTATTTGTTTGAACGTTGGGTAGCATTTGATCAGTTATATTTCGCAACAATAATAATGTCACCGAGTCCGGTTATGGAATATGGACGAGTACAGTATCGTGGGGAAACGGAGTGTGAACCCCGGTGACCTGAGTTTGATTCCCGGTCACTGCTGAAATTAGTTGGCGAACGATAACTGAACCGGTCCTGGGCACCCCATTCACCAACCCGCACTGACTGCTGTCGTGAGGTATGTTCAATCAACCCCGTGACCTGCAACTGCGTGCTTTGACAATGGGACTGTGAAGTGTTACGTATTACATCTATAACACGACATTAATTTAAATTATGAGTATTTTGAATCTTTTTTTTATTCAATAAATAAACACGCACAACAGAAGTATAGGCGTCCCTCGATATACGGAACGGATAAGTTCCTCAAAAGTTGTCCGTAAAACGACGTCACGTAAATTGAACCCGATTTTTCCCTATTGGCTTCCAATGTGTAATTGAAGGTTCCGTTCTTACGGGGAGGGGGGGGGAAATCAACAACCCCCAAGATATAATAAAATCGCACGTGAAAAGTGGCATACATTTTTTAAAGCAAATCTTTCTTGGTAAAAGTTATATCATTTTTTGATTAAATATTCATAGTAGTGCTCAAAAATAGGTCGCGGGAAACCAGTACTAGTATGAAAGGCACGTGCATATGACCTGGGACAGCATGACATGATGCATTGTTCGATTTAAGTATAGTTGGTGATGTGGGCCCCTCGGCAGGATGTTAAATACCTCGCTTGGTATACAGCAGATCGTGGGTTCAATCTCGACTGATACCTGTATATTTGGAGTTTGTGTGTGTCTCTCCCCGTTGTGGTGTGTATTTTACTCCGGGTCCTCTGGGTTTTTCTTTCACGTTTAGCATCAATGTGCGCTGAGAGTATATTTGTCTGTTATAAATTTCCACGTGGTAAGCCACTACCTTGAGCTACCATTTGTGGCAGCCAGGTCACTTCTGAAAAAGCGGTATATTTAGCTCAGTGGGTCTCACCTGGTAAAATAAAAAAAAAATATAGATTTACAAATAGAATAGGAATGGAAAAAACACCAATATGCTTGGAGACGAATGTTTTCAATCGGTGCGTGTTACGTGCTATGATGCATAGATTGACTAAAAGCTAAAGGATATGCAAATAAACGTGGAGAGTAGCATTTTGGGAATGTACACTTAGATATAGGAAGAGGAACACATTGTTGAGAGGAGGTGCGTTAGTTACGAGACATGATAGGATACGTGAAGAATGTAGGTGGGCCGGGTGGGGCAGGACTCGTGACTATAAATGATGATGGGTGGTGGGCAAGGCTGGGGTCACAGAATTGCAGCCAAAGGAGGGAAACGCGCCCTAGAGGATAACCATCACAGGGGTGAAGCGACGAGATCTGCTCATGCACAGGAGTGAGATGGGCCGTGGCATCGCAGGACTGTGATGGATGGTGACAACGTGGGGAGGATTTCATCCAGCAGTGGATGAACCGTGGCTGAGAATGACAACAGAACCGCCACATTTTTCGCTCTCCCAAGGTGAATAACCCCAAATTGAATGCAAGTTGGGACTTGTAATGTCTAGCTATTTTAATTAAAGTTTCCCTCATTTATTTAAATGCTCTTGGTAATTTGATATCACGAAACGAGCGAACACAACAGTCATAATAAAGATTACAATGCAATAAAAGTGGTTGAGGGTCTCAATTCGATGCAAGAGTCTATCCTTTTTTGAACATTGTGGTCAATGTAGTCACTCTTCACAACTATACAATGCTTATGCAATTGTGTGCATGTGTCGTGAGCTTAAGAATTGATCGATTAATTGTTACACCTCAAAGTGTGGTTGGGTACATTTGAAATGTTCAAGTCGCGCTTAATAACGCAACCGTGCATTTAGAAATATTTATTTTATAAGCAGATTATCTATACAGGGACTCCTCTACTTACGAACATTCGACTTCCGAACTTTTAGAGATACGAACAAACCTGTCCATATGTCCAGTTGCCTATTTGCACCGAGAGCCGTGAGTTCAACCGCCAAGGTGGTGGCATCTACATCTGCAGACCATAAACCAGTGTCATCTACATCTAAAGGAGATTATACAACTTTTAAAGCCATTCCCCCATGTTTAGTGTGCATGCCGTACAACACGTTTGGAATCGACAGGAGTAAAGTTGGATTTACAAACAGACCTCTGGAACCTTAACTCGTTTGTAAGTAGAGGAGTCCCTGTAATACACATACTTGCATTGAAATATGGAGGACATTATTTTTCAATGTGCAAGTGGCCTGGCAAAGCATTGCGTGTCTGATTCAGATAAGTAGCTTATAAGCCCCGCAAGAGAATTATTTGAGAGCGAAAAAAAATATTTCGCAGTTAAGTATTATCTTGGGGTGCATTGCAGTTCATTATCGTTGTTTTAATGGTTCCTTACATCACTGGTGGGATACACTGGTAGGTGTGTTGAAAATCATTTCTATTCAAATGTATTGAGATTCACCTGGGACTGGTAGTTGCTCATGAATAACAATTTAAAATTGAAAAGGCAGATAACATTTAATGAAGCAATGCAAACCGCATTCACTGGGACGTGTCAAGAATTGATGTGGGCAGCCAAATTTGACCCAAACTGTCACCGGATTGACTCGGATTTTTTTTTGTACGTAGACTTTTTAATATGCGGTTAAGACCGGGAATCTCGTACATTCGGGAATATGCTTGCTGTTAATGCGTCTGCAAGTCTATTTCGCATATTTTATTTCATCTAGGTTTGTACTTCTGTGCATTCATTGAAAAGTTTTCATAGCTTTATAATAAAAAAGGGTGGGGGGGGGGGGGAAATCTGCTGATTTGCTGATATTACAGGCGTTGTGCACACAAGTGGCTGTTGTGATTGCCGGTAGCGCGTGTACTTGTTGGATGATGTGTTTTTGGGATTGTACAAGAGAAACCGGACACCAAACCCGTCCAGTACCAGGTACACGGTTGATGCATAGTGACCAGCACGGTTGTTCAAGGTGTGTCCCACGTGGCTGGGCCACTAGGCGCGAGTGGAAACACGATGAATGTGAAATTCCACGTGGGGTTTTTTTTCTTCCTTTTTTAACCTACCTTTTACTCTCAAAATTAACACGTAGCACCAAGAAACGCTTTCCAATCTATTTATAGAAAATAAATTGATTCTTGCATTGATTTAACGCTCCCACGAGAATGTTGCTTAATTTGAATCGCACGCGCGGTGTACGATTTAAGCAACTTGTATAGAACATCAAATGTTTTTAGTGCCTCGTTTATCTGAGGCACAATTTCTTTGGACAAAATGTCTAGTTTCCAATTGGTAGGTAGATAATAATGCAGACTGGCCCAGTTTCACAACCAATTTACAGTTTTGACTAAACATTCTCACCGATTCTCTGCTCTATGGCGAAAGCTATGGAAAGTTTAGTATTTTGATGCTTTGATTTTTTTTCATGATTTGAATAGGTGATTTTCTTGTTTTAAACGTCATGTAATACGCTTGTTTTAATATTGAAAGACCTTCAAGATAAAGCATAATTAAGTGTCATAATAGATCTAAATGAGGATTTAGCTAAATGTGTATTTCCATCTGTTTTGTTTGTATTACTGGAACGCAACTTTGTTGTAAATGTTTTGCAGGCTATGTAAATTGAAAACGTTGTGCGTCTCCATTGTATTCTCATTTTATGACTTGTGCTTTAAAAGGAAGCATTCAAATTAGCTATTAATTTACTCACAATGGCCCTAATGAATCGCTGGAGTCTCTTATTGCTCACAATAATGCTTACGTGCACATGGCAGTGATGATTTTTTGACGAGGTTGTGTTGGTGAAGAATGCTAACGTGAGGTTTTGTCCCCTCTCTCTCTCTCTCAGTCCCGCACAGTCCTCAGTCCCTCCGCAGAAGGCGTGTCTCATCTGTAGTGATGAGGCTTCGGGCTGCCACTACGGAGTGCTCACCTGTGGAAGCTGCAAGGTGTTCTTCAAGCGTGCCGTGGAAGGTACGCGACAAGGCTAGTGGTCTTTCTTACCAGTTTAACAAAACACGCGTCAAAATGGAGAGCTTCGTGCACACATATCCTGGACAGTAACTCAGTCGTACTCACTGGCCACTTAACAATGCATTGAATTATCGCTGAAATACATTCTATTGCCCATACACATGCTACACGCACGGCGGAGTCGTGCGTGTAAGAATTTATAATTAATTATTTTATAAAACTAGATGCAAATTACAGATCGGCTCGTGTGCAAGTGCTGGGTGGATTGTTGCATTGTGGGACCGTGAGCGATGGTGTGGCGGCTTGGGGAGGCCTTCATCCAGCAGTGGACAAATCACGCTGAAACAATATATGCTTCTGTTGTAGTTAGGAAAGTAGAACAGACAACAGAGAAAAAAATACACTTCAAACTAGATGTAAAAATGAGACCAAAGAGAATCAATTATTGATTCGAATGTCAGTGCCAAATTGTAAAAAAAAAAATTTTTGGGGGGGTTGGGGAGGGGGGATGAATTTGTACAGGACTTAATCCTGTTACTGTCATCGGACAACAAATCTTCATTATATGGGCTTTTGTGTGGCCTAATACGACTAATGCAGGCACAGTAGGAAGATGTGTATTTAGTTGTCATGGGGCCACAGTCTGATTGAGAGTATTGCTGTGTCCAAACATGGGTTCAGTGTGTCTGGTTCAGTAAACAGGATGGTGTCACATAGCCCTTAATGTATATATTATGGTACCCTTCAAGCGGAGTACTGTTGCGAACTCGCAGCACGTCAGCGATATTACAATGGGCTATTTTTTCAGGGCAGTTACGATCGTCGTCAGCCAAAATATATCCACTGCTGGATGAATGCCTCTCGCACGCTCTCGGTACCACGATGCAACAGTCCATGTAGCTGGTGCGCACGAGCTGAGCTTATTTCTCCATCCCCATGGTGGTTGTTATTTTCTCTCACTTGACTGCCATCCCACCGTCATTCTCGACCATTTGCCATTGTCCCTTCCAGTGATGTGTCCTGCACAAGCCTCACTTATCTTAAATCCGTTAATATGATTTGTCTAACTTGCATATATGCTGTGCTTCATGTGTTCCGCTTCCTCCGTATAATTCTATGCATGCTGCTTTTGTGCACTTTTCAGCTTTTATTCCAATTTTCTCAATCTTCTTGTGTATAATTCAAATAATGTATATTGAATCAAAACATCTTTAGGTACACTGGTATGTTGGACATGTGTGGAAAAGAGCTTCATAGCTCATTGAATTTCTCCAGTGTAAAAAAAATATTCTGAGTCTTACTCAAACCTCCTCGTGCCCACCTCTATTTGGGCAGCCTTCAATAACTGCCATCGACAAAGACACAAAGATCCCCCTATGTAGCCTTAACAGACTGTTGGGGCAAGTGCTGTTCGCGAGCACCTATGAAGGCCAGCATGGCACACGCGGAGGGTGGGTGGCCAGCACCACACCTGGCCACCTTTGTCTCCCCAGTGGCGATGTTTACAACACCACACCAGGTACTCACTTGAGGCTTCGTCGACCTACGAGAGGCCCAGGACCGGTTCAAATATTCGCCACTGCCACAGATCCACTCATTTATCTCAGGTACAATTTTGCAGCCTTGCTTATTCAATACACTCCTGCAGTTAATCTTCAGAAAATGATGAGATGGTCAACACGTTCACAATTTATTTTATGTTTTTTTAAAATCACGATTATAAATACAAAGAAAGCCTTTCTTTCTGCTCTGAATAACTTTGGCAGCAGCGCATCTCCTTGTCTGATTCTTTTAATATAATCTTACATTTTTTTTTACCAATAATTGCCTTATAAATAAAACACTGCCCATGTTGATTGCCAGACCAAGCAGTATACATAGCTAGGATACTGCAAGGGTTAGGGTTTCACTTTGTCACTTAGAACTACAGTAAACTACTTTTGCTTTGCATGCACAGAGCACTGCAATATTAGCCACATTCGGAAACTGGAAAGAGATAATGCAGTTTTTGAAATCAATGAGCGTGTTGTTAAATACTACACAGACACCCTGAATATAGAATCAACAAGTTATCTCTTAAGAGAGACGTTTGTGGCTGCATGTGCATTAGTGATAGGCTGATACTCACTTTAGTGTGCACTTCACACTGCCAAAGCTGTTTTGCAATATAGAGTAGTAAATACATCATGTGCCTGCACGAAGGCGTTCGCATGCCGTAAAGGAATTAAAGCATCCTCATAACCGCTCAAGACGTGCTAACTAAGTTAGAGCAACAGCCTTTCATTACCATTATTACATACTTCATGGTAATTATGAAAGTTCTTCCAGCAAATTATCAAGTAAACGTGTTTGCGAGTTTAAGAAACTGTTTAATGACACCACTTTTTGCAGCTTTGCTACATAGCCCATATATATAATTTCATAGATTTAACAGGCGTTAACTTACTTTTTTATTTTACCAGGTAAGGACCACTAAGCTATCTAGCTCTTTTTCAGAAGTGACCTGAACACAAAGGATAGCTCAAAGAAATGGCTTGTGGAAATGTATAGCAGCCAAATACTATAAATGCATGTTTCTAAATGTGGAGGGAAACACTGTAAGAGCCGGAGAAACATCCACATGACCATGGGGAGAGAGAGACACAAACTCCAAATATTCTAGTATTCTACCATGGCAAGCGGGTGATGCTGTTATTTGCTAAATTAATCACTTTGCTAGACCAGTTTCCAAAATTTCCCCCAATGTATCATACGGTACATTTCTGAGTCTTACTTTGTCCATTGCCTGCCTGTGTGTATCATCATTGCAGAACTACAGTACTTGCAGACTCTCTAATTGGGTTCAAACTAATGGGCCGTAGACAATATAGTCGTTCACATTCCCACACCTGCTTTTTGTGAAGTTCGTTTGCCAGTCCCTGAAGATTGTTGCCAATTTTTTAATCGCCTGCTGCTATTTGTTAGGCAGTACATTATGAAGGTGCAGAGCAAAACAGACCAAAACAAATCCGTGGCCTAACTTGTGTGGCTTTAATATTTTTTCTTTCTGGCTCGTCGTTCAGTTTAAATATTTAACACGTAGGCTTTCACGACAAACATAAGATGCATAATTGATCTTTTGGTCAGATGGTGTGAGTAAAATGTGTCTTGTACACCCCCCTTCACCAAGACAGCCGGTTAATAAAACTGTCACGTAAACAAGTGCGCCAATCCGTGTTCGACGTTGAGGATTGCTCTTGCAACAATTTTGCACTGTACCCAGTTAAATGTTTTTTTATTGGTCACCAACAACACCGGTGTGCCGAGTGGATAATAAATCGGCAAGTTCGTTCATGTGACAAGTTTATTCATTGTGTGTGTCAGGCGGTGGAGGGTGTATGACACATTTTACTCATGCGGTTTGACCAAAAAATCTATTCCCAATCAGTATAATTATATTCATTGCAAACCCCAAATGACCTATATAGTCTTTGTTGTCGCCATTTAATAGCCACGGAGAGTGCTCCAGACCAATTCGCATCATGAGCCACAATGGTGAAATCCCGAATGTATTTGCGATCAAAGGATTTAAGTTGATATGCTCAAGAGCAAATTCGTTTTTTTTGGCATGAGTTTATTTTTCAGAAACAGAATCTTTATACTGGAGGAATCCGATGAGCTATGATCCTCTTTTTCACTGATATCCAGTCGGGGCAGGTCAGAACGTTACAACAACAAACAATAAAAAAGCACGATAGGAGCGCAAAGTATAGGAAAGTTAAAATTTTTTGCTTACCAATTTTTTTTATTTTCTCAGGTAAAGGCCACTGAGCTTTCCACTTATGTTTAGCTTATTTTCAGAAGCAACCTGGCCACAAATGATTTCTGCCGTCTGAATGGCTGAAATTCCCACTCACAGTTTCTACATCATAGCCCCGTGATTCCTTTGCTGTTGTTAAATACTCCTGGTGAGAGGAGGAGGGGTTTACGTGGACAAAGGTCGGAATTTTTTTTGTACATATGTTCAACTTTTTTTCCGCGCTGTAACATAGCCAATCGGAGGTGCAAGGAATGCACCAACACATCACCGATAACGAACGCACATTCAGGTGCTGGGCCGTCTGATGCTGTCGGTTCTGTGGCTGTGCATTGCCGCCCCAGCGCTCGATTGAGACGCAGATGAAGCCTTCACTTCCAATTGAAATGCAGTCGAATGTATTAATGATAGGAATCGGAATTGCCTTATTAAACTATCATTAGCACAATTTGGATTGTGGTGTTAGCGCACCTGCAACACGCTAATTTATTCGGCACAAATTTGGAGTAGATTTCTAAGCATTTTTTCAACGTGCACGTATATATTTTTCTATTATCGCTGCGTTATTCATCCTGCACTAAGTGATAGATTGCTTGCATTAGAATAAATGTCGTACAATAAACTGGCTGCTTACAGTCCCACGTGCTTTGGAAATAAACACTTTAATCTGTCAGTGCAGATAAAAGCATTTTTGAAAGTAACTTTTTTGTGCATGAACATATATGGGCCCTTTTTTCAATCAATTTCTGGGGATGAAGACCACTTCACAAAGGTGGAGCTATTTGACTAGCACATGGCACTATCATCGTGCTGGTGCAGTGTTAGTTGGTGAAGGCAGGGAGCAATTGATGTTGTGCAATAATGGATATTGCTGCACCGCAGTCTGCTGGTAACGTAGCCTCTGCAAAAAAAACATTACAGCATCTTGATTTAAAGCTTTCGTGACTGCAGGGATTCATATTCTTGGTTCTTTCGGTAAAGTCACGTAGAAGGGAAACATTAAAATAATAAAAATATAAAACAATAAAATTCTCACGACGTTTCGACTGCAACACAAGCAATCATCATCAGGTGTGAAAACCACAGCAAGAATTTTTTCTTGCTGTGGTTTTCACACCAAGAAATGTTTCTTGCTCTGGTTTTCACACCTCATGATGATTGCTTGTGTTGCAGTCGAAACGTCGTGAGAATTTTATTGTTTTATATTTTTATTATTTTATTGCTTCCTTTCTACGTGACTTTACCCAAAGAACCAAGAATATTACAGCATCTGTTTTATGTATGATGGTCGCCCATCCAAGCATTCTCTATACACAAGGAATTATATTTGAACACATTTCCATCATCGTAACTCCTCATTACTCTTTGCCAATGATAAAGGTTCACTCCACATTGGCATGACATTTATTCTGAAGGCTAATGAGACTGTAGCCTTGTAAACATTATTTCGTGGTGAGACATAACCAAAAATGCTGGATCACAAGCAATACACTTTCTGATGTCCTGAGAATCTCGTGAGACAAAATGTAGAACTGTTAAATATTTATATCATTTTTTTTTACCTTTGCTGAATAATTTACTTGTTAATTATACAGGTGAGCTTATGTCTTTGATCAGCAATGGAGCTCTTTAAGCTTTAAGTAAGGCAGTTCCATTCAGGGCTGGCTTCTGCAGAAGAAGTAATGAATTAATTATTACCCAGACAGATCCCAGCCCTTTTTTTAACTAGACTGTTAGGATGCACAAGGTTGCATTTGCTCCCCGATAAGCAAGTCTTCCAAAAAACAGTGATAGATCTGATTGGTAAGATTGCGATTATATTTATCAAATTGTGCTTAAAAAGTAAAGCATTAAGACCTAAATTTACAAAGAAAATTATGTATAAGGGTTTGCCTTAAAAGGCATTGGTCGTTTCTGTTATTTAAAAGAAAAAGTGAATTATTTGTCGCCAAATGTTCAAATGTGCTGGGCAGTTGTATACAGTAATTTCACCAGAAGTGAAATGATTTTTGGTTGAATACAAAAGTAAATTAATGGTCTTGACACTTGTTTTGCATTATTACATTTACAAAATGATTCGGACTAACATTCACGGGGACTTATATATTTTAATGACTTTGAGTTTAATTTCTAAACCACGTGTACATTTCAGTAGTAATTTCTAGAAATAAAATAGTCTCCAGTTTTACATGGTAATTAAATGTAAGATTACTGTGTTCATGCCTTACAAAGGTGATTAGAATCCAAAAATATGAAATTATATTTCCAGACGCCTTCGAGAATTTAGAAAATCTGAACTTATCACTTTCATTTCACGCTTCTCTGATGTCTGAACAAGGACCTTCGTTCTTCGCTTTTCCTTCCAAGTCATTTCGCTTATCTTTTTCATCTTCTTCGCTGCATGAATATCGCAGGAGTTTTACGACAACCTTCGTGAATACGTTTCGATCTTGCACAGCTGAAGCTGTCGCTTTCTAAAACATTGGTTTCCTGTTTGCAGGACAGCACAATTATCTGTGCGCCGGACGAAATGACTGCATCATTGACAAGATCCGCCGCAAGAACTGCCCAGCTTGCCGTCTGCGCAAGTGCATCCAGGCGGGAATGACGCTAGGAGGTTAGTGCACAGCGCCATACATTGCTCTTCCTGCTCCTTGCGCAGAGTTTAGCTGAGTGTAACTTGTTTTTATGGAAATTATCTCTCTGGCCAAGGTATTTGCACAATTAATGTTGACTGCTTTTGCAAAGGAACATATTGCACGCATTTTTTTGTAAACTAATGTGAAAACTTCATGCCTAGTCTTCCCATGCTTCTCATTTGCCTAAAGAGGAGTCCTTTGAGGTTTGATATTCTCGGGACACAAGGGAGCATGTGTATTACACTAGTCTGGGTATGCCAATCTCTGCCAGTGATGTTCCTGCTGAATGTCAGTCTCTCTACGTATTTATTTGTTTAAATCACTTTAACGTAAAGCGTGTTACAACCTAAGATGTAATATAGAGGATGCTCGTTGCAGTTTGAAATCAAATTGCATGGTTTTTGGAGGCATTGCACGCTGTCGTGACTCAACTGTTGTGACTCAGCCCCCGCAGTGGCTTTACAATCCTCCCTTTCAAGGGTCCTCTATAGATTGGACCTTGCCTCCCGTACAACGTTTTTATGCTAATATCCATCCATTAAGATGTAACACGTTTCACACAGATGAGTGAAAATGAAGCACAGTATGGTATGATAAGACATGTTTACAACCAATCGTTGTGATGTTTTTAATCGCCCGATCAAATAATTCTGAACACCCTTTCGTTTATTTGTGATTGACGCTAATATTTTTTCCATTGAGTAAGTGTTTAGTTGTAATCTTAATCTGGGATTTGCCTCGATAAATTACACTTTAGTACAGGTTTTCCATCCGTGATAAGCTTATGTGTCTAGTCTGCCCATAGGTTGACCTCGTTTAACTGAAATGTAGGCCACAGACGGCACGCTTAAAAAAACATAATTTCAAAGTTTTCACCCATACAGTTTAATACAATTACATCAGTGTGCATGCACAGTCTTAAGGTTCTGTGCGCATGCGTGTGTGTGTGTGTGTGCGTTGAGCATCTGTATACATGCGCTGCACATGATATGTATATATTGAGTCTCTACTGTACATGTAGTGTAAAAAAAAACATTCAATTAGAAATCTCCGCGTCGTACTTTAAAATATCCACGGACGTGTAAATCGCATGGGGGGGGGGGGGGGTGGCGATGGTGGTGGTGGTGGGTTTGATAAATTAATTATTAAAATTAGCTGTGGTGATTTGTTGCTTAAAAACGAACCCACCCTTAAAAAATGAAATTCGCATTATTGGCCCGCGGGAGCGAGCGATGTGCACTGTCTGTCATGGCTGCCGTGGCCATTGGCCACGTTCATAAGTATCTTAGTATCCCAGGCGATCGCCCACACGGAGCGGTCACAGGATGAATTCCTCCTCCCCTCCCACACCGCACTGCCCCCCGCCCCTGCAGACTCCTCCACTCAGTAGGTCACGTGGAGGGGGGGGGTGAAAGGGACGTCAGGCAAAATGCATCAACACACGCGAGGAATGTCGGGAATGCTTCTCTTCCACCACTACTTGCGGCGTCCTTCTCCCCGCCTGTCTACCAGTGGGCGTAGCACAGCGCGGCTGCCTTTGGAGTGCCGTAGTGGGAGTGCTTGCGCTTTACGGCCGTTCAAGATAAGACTTTTTACAAATGGGAGCCAAACGTAAAGCTGTCGCGGAAGGCGGTGTCTGTGTGTGTGTGGGGGTTACAACGCACAAACGGTGCTTGTGTGCTGAACGTTCATCCTGGATTGCACACCAGTTTTGTTGCGTGCGTGAAATTTGCCGCGACCGTGGAGGCTAATTCTCATGGCTAATATTCGAAACTTAAAACACCCATTTTAGTTTTCCACTTCCCTTCGCTGGAAATAGCAAAGGTGGTGCGAGAGTGGATGATTCAATAAAATGTTACGAAATGGTGGCGGAATTAGCAAATGGCAGCGTGGTACGGCAATTATGTCCGAATGCCAAGATATATCGATAAATGTAACAAACACACGTAACCTCCTTCCCTTCCCAGATTATGTAGTTATTTCACGATTCAAACATTTGTTCAATAAACAGCTGTGTAAATATGCGTTGCTTTAATACACAAATGGATTCACGCTTTCTAAATTTCCAAAAAGCGAATCGGCGAGTTACCTTTTTCTGGAAATTGTGCGAGCTGTTAACTTCCTCGCCTGGTATACGGGAGGTCGTGGGTTCGATCCCGACCCTGACGCCTGTATATTTGGAGTTTGCACGTTCTTCCTGTGGTCATTTAAGATTTTTTTCTGGGTCCTCAGGTTTTTCTCTTCACATTTAGGAACATGCATATTTTGCTGCTTTAAATTTCGACACGATAAACCACTTCATTGGGCTATCATTTGTGGCCAGGTTGCTTTTGAAAAAAAAACTATATACCTCACTGGGCCTTACCTGGTTAAATAAAAAAAACATAGTTTATATTCTTTGGGTCTTTCGGTAAAGTCATGCAGAATAAAAATTATTATTTTTTTACAAGAAACTACGACGTTTCTACGTGACTTTACCGAAAGACCCAAGTTAAATTTGAGTTTAGTTCAAGATAAATTGCATACATTACTGCCCTGAAAAATACTCTGATAGAAACGGTCATCGTCGATTCAAATTAAATAGCATATTAATATTGTAGTCAATCCATGTTGCTACGCGCTGCACCAGTTGCCATGACATCATGCTCTATGAAGAGCTGTGACCACATTCAGAGCAGTAACGTAAATTATTTTATATGGATTAGTCATGTCGCAATAAAAAAACATCAATGCAGGTATTTTCTGTCTTTAGCACCTCCAATTAGCACGTTTGGGGCTACGTACGGTGTGAAAGAAGTTCAACATACATACATTTTGTCTTTTAAATGTCTGAATGTGTCTGCTGCAAGGACTTTGGTGCGCACAATCCCGGAGTGCTAGATTTCATTCCCAGCAGCTAAGTACATCTTTGGGTATCCCTGGTCGAGCTTCCTGTTGTTTGACGGAATCTAAAATAAGCACAGTGAAACACTCCTCTTATCACCCTCGATGTGTGTGCTGTTGAAGGCCCTGCCCATGCTGTGTCGGTCATGGAGGTTGTTTTTGACCATACTTCACCATACTGGTCAGTGCACGTGGCTGGATGGGGGCTCAGGACCAGTTCAGACATCACTCGCCACTGATGTTAGCTGTTGATAGGAATGAAACTGAAGGACACCAGATTCATAGTGCAATGTGCTCGGCGCTGTGCGACTGCCTCCACCCCCACAAAAATAACTCCTGAGTATGTTGTGTGTGGTTATATGCCGGGAACAATGCGTATAAGAAAAAAAAACTGCGTGTTTGTTATTAACACGGCCTTAAAACTAACTATACAACAGGCAACGTTTCAGGCAGTGGCCTTTCGTAGCATATAATTTGCGCTACGAAGAAGGAAATTAAACATTTGTTCCAAGATACTTAATTTTAAGGCAGTGTTATTGACCAACATGAGTTTTTTTGTGTTAATTGTGCATGTGCTCTTGTGCCAGTGCAGCACCACCACATAATGTGCATATAAGGAGACACATTTTCTGCCACTTCTGGATTTTCCTGAATCTTATATTTGAAAGAACGTATGCGGATGTTAGAACTTCGAAGAGACCACTGCTGGAATACGTATTAGCAAATAAAATAATAAATTGTCATTCCTCTTATTCAAGAACACATGGACAATGGAAAGAATATTTCCCCATAGAATAGGATTTAAGGTCGATTAACTGGTGCCACTGATAATAGTACTCTTGGGCAATATATAGCCACAGATGTTACTTAGAGGAGTAAACATTTTACATTTAATTTACTTTAGCAGGTAAGGCCAACTGAGCTATAGGACTCTCTTTTTCAGAAGCGACCTGGCCACAAGTGATAGCTCAACAAAGTGGCTTATTGTGTGGAAATTGAGAACAACCAACAACTCTAAACTTCGTATTTCTAAATTTGGAGGCAAGAACCAGAGGACCTGGAGAAAATTCCACATGACCACGAGGAGAGAGAGAGGCTCACACAGACCACGAATATACAACAGGCATCGTCAGGGTAGGGATCGAACTTTGTATACACCAGGCAAGGTATTTAACATCTTGCCACCGTGACGCTCATAACTGTACCTGGTACAGTGAGTTAAACCAGCATGGGTCCCGCATCTTGTCAGTGTCCCATATTTGAAAGCTTACGAAGTAATAGACCATACCTTTGATTATACTAAAGATTAGCAAATACACTGTGTGCGATGACAGGCGACAACTATTCGTTATTACCTGCAGAGTACAGCAGGACAATGTGTCTGCCACAAGTTTGGAATTATACTGTGATTATTTCACTGCTCATAAGAAGTAACGTCACTTAAAACTAAGCAATGCTCCTTCCATTTATAGCGCTGTTTTGAACCGATATGTACAGTTTTACACAACGATATAATGTAGCGGTAGCAGTGGTAGAAATCATTGCCAAGACTGGGATAGCCCTGGTGTGCACACTGCTCACACACTGCAAGCCGCCATCCTGATTCGCACAGCCCACGCTCCCTGCATGCCCTTGGCAAGCGGAATCCCAGTCTCAGCCCGTGTACCCCTCTCTCTCGGAGCCAATGGCTTGCACACGACCCAACTCCCCCCTCCTTCACGCAAACACACCCAAATCCCTCCCACATATCTCTCGAGTCCCATACCCCTTGCGTATACACCAACTTGCCCCATATGTAGTACCCTTGATTAGACTGGCATGCTTCTTCATTTTGCCTCTGTCTGGCTTGGGCCTGCTGCTTTAGGTCTGCTTTACTTCGTACTAGTTCAATCCTCCCTTTTGCCACTCGTCCAAAACTTTGTAAAACATTTGCACGTTGGTGGCAGCCTCGCGCTGAAAGAATGTCCCAAATACCAAACGTGCAAAATAATAAAAAATTATTACTAAGTTTTTGGCTTGCATAGGAGTTTACTTAAGTGATGCTTGTACTGTACACAGATATATGTATGTTGAACTTCTTTTGCGCCGTACGTAG